TTGGCTCTCATCTTACACTGCCAGTTGAAAACTCCGGCAGAGAGAGGGTGGTGGGGACGTGGCCACGATTTGCATCTTGAAAGATAAAAAACCTTCATTCAAACTAAGCAAGAAATGCGACAATTTATCGGATCTCGATTCTCTGGTACTGGTGGAGTGTTTCCGACGGCCCTTCAAGTGTTTCCTCGACGGCGTCCAACTCATTCCAAATGACAAAGACCTGATTGAAATAAGTTGTGACCGAGGTGTTTCCCTGTTTGAGTTCAATGAGGCGTTATCAGAGGGTGAATGTTTTAGCGAGATCCAGCTACCTATACATCTCCTTGATGTTGGCCCAAATCTTGACGGCCATTTTTATCGGTGGGAGCCTCGCCGCCACCTCTATTGAGAGGCAATTGCTAATCCATGATAGAACTAGCATATTGCATGGCTTTAATGGCATTGAAGGTGTGGTTGTGGTGGCAGTTGGAAGGCTCCATCGAGGAAAAGGTCTTTGTCTTTGGTGATGAGGGCTCACCGAAAATAGCGAGATTAGAAGGCATAGTTATCAAAACCTGTAAGGATTTGTTTGATGAGGACCAATTCTAGTCCATCGGAGACTAGTAAGAAGAGCATGTCACATAGTCTAGGGTGACTGTTGCCGGTGGCTGGCACAATGCGAAAAGGGTATGGGTAGGGATTCATATTTGGATCTAAACCCGATTGGGGAAAAGAATCCGGGTTTTAACCCGGCATTCCATATGGGTAAAGGGCTGGGTCAGGCCTAGTTTGAGTTGTATGGGTTGTAGCAGGCTTGGATTGAGTATTTGAGCTTAAGTTGCGTGTGTTGTTTGTATTGGTTGGGCCTTTTACGTTTTCTGTATTTGTTGGGTTGATTTCCATTCTGGATTTCTAATGAAGTGTTTGTTATTTATTTTCAAGGACAAAGGAGAGGCTAAGGTGATTGGCTCTAACTAAGTATTTGTCTAGTTTCAGGAACAGAATGAGAGGCTAGGCTGAATTGTAAGCGGAAGCTTTTAGCAACCTGGCTCTAATACCATGTAAGGAATCAAGAAAGAGAGGCAAAGAGGAGCAGTTCAAAAGAATGATATTGCCAGAGTATGCCAAAGAGATAAAATAAGAGAGAAGAATTTCTATATATTTCTTTATAAATTGTATTGTAAGCATGTACAATGGCTAATTTGTACAAGTTCTGTAAATGTAGAATAGGAAAGAAATAAATACAAATCCCTGTAATTCAATCAATCACATAAATTAAGGTGATTGATTGAAGTCTTAATCACTCCTTAATCTCAGCTAGCAAAGATCAAGGGAAATCAATAATAATAATAATGTTGCATTCCATATTTCGTCAAGAACCAATAGCCATAGAAAATGAACTAGGGTTAGGTCCTGACACTATTATATTGGCTAATAAATCCAAAGCATACTTGGACTGACTTAAAAGAATACCAACATTAATCATACACTAGTAACTACTAGAAAAATTGCATTTCATGACAGTTTCTAACTGTGATGAAAATATGAAATGGATTCTATGACATTTATCAAACTATGATTGATAGACATATCTATAATGATACTTTATATATGAATAACTTTCATATAAAAAATTCTAGTGGTGATTAAAAAAAAAAAAAATTATAGTCTCAACTTGGGCTAGTTATAAATAAAAATAAACTTCATATTGTAATAAGTTATAATTTTTCTAGGTCTCATTTTAAGGAACTTGCTTTCACATAGTAATAATTATCTGTATAGTAAAACCTCTCTACAGTTATAATGGTGGGATCAAACTAATTTATTACTATAAAAAGATTACAACTTAATGGAAGTGTAGTTACAAAAATTATTGTTTTGATTTCTTATTTTATAATTCACGTTTTAGTAGTATGCATTAAGATTTCAAGTCATTGTTTTAATAGTCATTGCTGCAATTAGACAATAAGAGAAATGAAATAATCCTGATCATAGTATGAAAATACAAAATGTTCCGTGCCAAAAATCTCTAAACATGCTTGAAAAGTTAGAAATATTTTGATTTCAACAAGAAGGCGTTCATGCTAGCGAGTTATTAGATACCCTATAAGTTAAAAGATGAGATAACATCTCTAAAACATAAATCATTGTCTCAAACAACTTTAGGTAAATATTTTATTTCATCTTAAACCTTTAATGTAACATGTCATATGTTTTTTTGCAATATACATACAATTATTACTATATGGAAGCAACTTTCTTAAGACATGGATTAAAAAAATGATAACTTATTACAATGTGGAGTTTATTCTTATTTATAACTATCCCAAGTTGGGACTGAATTTTTTTATGATTACATAAAGGTTATTCCTATACATAATATCACTATAGAGAAGTTTTACTATATATTACAAAAAATATATGTTATATTACATTAAAGGTTTAAGATGAAATAAAATATTTATCTAAAATTGTTTGGGACAATAATTTATGCTTTAGAGTTATTATCACATCTTTGAACTTGTAGGTACAAAATAACTCACCAGCGTGGACACTTTTTTGTTAAAGCCAAAATATTTCTCGGTTCTCAGGCATGTTTAAAGTTTGTTGGCATGAAACTTTTTGTATTTCCATACTATCATCCTCAAGATTATCTCCTTCCTCTTCTTATCTAATTGCAGTAATGATTTCTTCTTCAATTAAAACATAAACGACTTGTTACTCATTTGAAAGATCGAGGAAGACATTAATTTTTATAATGCACAATAAATTAATTTCTAAAATAAATTTTCATTATATAATGAAACAACTCAATCGACATTGTCTATTTGTTTCCAAACTAACTTGCATAGTACGAACCAGACCATTTCACAAAATTTACATGAGACAATTTTTAGAAAGTAGAAAATTGAAAAAAAAAAAATTGTTTGGACATTACTTCGTTAAAAAGCTGCTTGTTCTTTGTTTGAATATGTAGAACCTCAACACACTCGACTTCATCTAGCATCACACTGTCTATTTCTCTATCAAATCTATTCTCATCCTCCCTTCTAATTGGCTTCGCTTCACAAAAGATCTCAATATCTAGGGCAACCACGTAGTACTTAGTAGGGTCAATCTCAGTAACCTTACACTCCAAACTTTTATTTCCTCCTCTCACAAGGAATAGATAAAAAATAAGTTGTAAATTTACAAGCAGTATACTAAAAATAATGCAAACTACTAAAAATAGTACAGACAATTTGGAACAAGTAATAGTTTGGAATGAGCTGTAGCTGAGAGCAAGCAATAGCTTGGAGTGAGATGTAGCTCGAAGTAATTTGTGAGATGAGGATCCGACGGAAGCGAGCTACAATAGCTTGAAGTGAGTTGTGGATTCATTTTATGGCAAGTTACCTTGGGCGGGATTCAATATTTGACTGTCCATTTTTTCAAGTAATCTTGATCGCCCATTTTTGCCAACGATCTTGGCCGCTCATTTGTGCCATGTAGCGTTGATCAAGCTAAAAATTGTAACCGCTGTTTCGAAAAACAAAACGCCGTAGTCAATCGTTTCAACTGGCACGTCCACTCACTTGCAGCCGCATTAATTACATAACCGACATGTGTATTCATTGGACGCCGCATTAAATGCATGGATGTGACCTTGGAAGCATTTTTCAAATGAAAGCCAGTAGCACAAAACTTTTCCAAGTTTTTGGTACCTAGATTGGATGGAGCGTGCTGGATGCACACGGAAAGCTAATCCCAATGCATTGGTTGGTCGTCAAAAGGGTGCTAGGTACAAGCTTGCACATACACGTCGGATATATTTGGTTAGACCAGATTCACAAGTAAGTTTAATCCAGTAGTAACTCCCACATCGACAGCATGTTCGGAAAAGCTCATAGTTTTTTAAGCTTGATACGACCTCCAAAAACTAGAGGCAAATATTTTGTGAGAATGTGTAGACAACTTGAGCAAGCATTAGCTTGGAGCGAATTGTAGTTCAGAGTAATTTGTGAGACGATGATTAGATAGAAGTGAGCTACAATCAGTAGTAAAGCTAGCTACTCAACAGTTATCTTTCAAATCGTAGATGAGCCTTATCTCCTTAGACATGCATTATCCCCTAAAATTAAGGAGAAGATCACGAGATTGACTCCCTACAATCTTGACATGATCACTACACAGAAAATTATAAGATTAACTTTCCAAAACACAAGCCATAATCCCAAGAATCACTCTTGTAACCGTTATCAACTTAGTAGTATATAAACCCCTTCAAGCTAATTGTAAAGGGGTTAGCAATTTTATAGAGAGAGAGAGAGAGAGGGAGAGAGCTTAATCTTGTAATCAAATACATTAATAAGATAATAGTGGATGTAGAGTTGTAGACTTGAAATTTAGCTCGCCAAACCACTTTAAAAACCTTTTTTGCATTTTAATTTCGTTAGTTTCATTTTCATTTGTTGATTATTCATAATTATGCACCATTCTACCCAATTCTGTCAAGGTCAATTAGATATCTCTAATTGTTGTGAAATTTCGTAACAACTAACAATAATGACGTAGTGGGTGAGTTTGATTGCGATAATGGTAGCTAATACAGTGGGGATGTACTATTACATTGTGAGTGTAGTGGGAATATGAAATTAAATTGTTACCAAACGTTGTTGCTTCATTTGTATGGAGTTAGGATAAAGGGTGGTTTGTACATATTTTTGGAATAGTATGAGGTGCGGTGTGAGAAAAGCCCCAAATCTGGCAGGTACCAAATTTTGCAAAACTCTGAGTAGTTTTGTGATAATTGCCCATTTATTTATAATTTTACATGAGGGGATTTTTAATTACCTAGAAATGATGGGGTGCTTTTGTATTTTTAGAAAATTGTATAGGGATTTAGAAATTAATCCTTACATTTTTGTCTTTTCTCTATCAATATTTCAATAAACTCATTAACTGAGCCCATAAACTTTCAAGAAATACCAATTTCATCCCTTCTATATAACATGCTACAGCTTCTTCCATATGTTATCTAAAACCTCCCAAAAACCTCTCTTCATCAAATGACTTTATCTACTCTTCATCTTCCTCATCCCCTGATTATAACTTCCCAGAAACTTCACCGTTCTGCATCCTTCAGAGCTTCAAACTCTTTATCTATTAATGTCGCATTTTCCATTAGAAGAAGAGCTTCATCCTTGGCTGTCTCGGCCAAAGCCGCTTCTTCTTCTTCGCTTTATACGGCAACAACAACACAAATCCAAGAACAGGAAGAATATCACCATGGTGTCAACATAGCGGAGGACGTAACCCAGGTTCTTCTTTTACGCATTTACCCGACGTAATTTATTGATTGATAGTGTGTTTCGTAATTTGACGGTGTGGTTTTGGAGTGCTTTTCAAAGCGCTTTTGAGTACCCAAAGCGTTTTTGTATTGATTATGTGATGTTTGCGAAATTGGATGACTTGATTAACAGCATTTGGAGAAGGAACTGATAGATGATTTCTGGAAAATGTTTTTTTGAAATTACTTTGAAATACCCAAACGTTTTTTTTTCTTCCTTTTATTATTATTATTATTATTATTATTATTTTAATTCTGTAGATAGATAAAAGCATCTTTAGGCATAAAAGAAAGGAATGCCTGTAGGAGAAGTGTTTTTCTATGAAGTGCTTTCAAATATCCAAAAGTGCTTTCCTACCAAAAAGTGCTTTTGTATTTATTTTCCAGTTTTAATAATGCAATAAAAAAAGCACTTGGGTGTGTTTTTTAAAGAGTGCTTTTTTATGTTTTTGTAAAAGCACTTTTATGGGAGTAGGGAGGAGAAGAGAATTACATTCACCAATTACAGTATTGATTTTAGGCCAGCTGTATTTGGATGGAAGTCATTGTGTTCTATTTGTAACTTTTCTTTAGTTCTTAATAACAATCCTTATATTTCGAAATCTTTACTGATTTGAGCAGTTGTGACACATTGATATTTAGTTGATTGGGAGAACACCAATGGTATATCTCAACAGAGTTACGGAGGGTTGTGTCGCAAATGTTGCCGCTAAACTTGAATCTATGGAACCTTGCCGTAGTGTCAAGGATAGGTAACATCCTACATTTTGCTATAGATAGAAGTAGAATTTCTCATCAACTTTAACCCATTATCAATCTTTGCTCTTTTTTTTATCTTTTGGGAAAGGGAGCATGTATTTATTAGTTTATGATGGTAAATGCCCTTTGTGATACATGATTCGGGCTTTATTAATAGGACTGGAGCATCTTGGTTTTTTTGTAAGCTTCGACTTATTTTCTGTCCTGCTTTTTGAGTGATATGTTATAAGTGACTAATGGTATATCAATTTTTAACTACCCAGAATTGGTTATAGTATGATATCTGAGGCTGAAGAAAGTGGAGCGATTTCTCCGGGGAAGGTTAGCCACTAAGTTTTCATACAGTTATGTCAGGAAAATGCTCTTTATATCTCTTAAATATCTGATTCTTCTTAGAATAGTTCTTTGGATAATGTGTTGTTATTTTGTGAATTCTATATTTAATTTAGTTATGTAATATATGATGTCTGTTGTGCCTTGTTTGCAGACTGTATTAGTTGAACCAACTACTGGGAATACAGGACTTGGTATCGCTTTTGTTGCAGCAGCCAGGAGATACAAACTTATAGTCACCATGCCTGCATCCATAAACATTGAAAGAAGGATACTTTTACGTGCATTTGGGGCAGAAATTGTTCTGACTGACCCAGAGAAAGGTCTGAAAGGAGCAGTTGATAAAGCTGAAGAAATTGTTCTGAGGACACCAAATGCCTTCATGTTTCAGCAGTTTGATAATATGGCTAACGTAAAGGTTACATTTTGTGTCATGCTACATCTTATTTTATAAAGGCTGTTGGTTGTATGCTTAAAAATATTATTTATTAATATTTATTCCACGAATACAGATCCATTTTGATACTACAGGACCGGAAATATGGGAGGATACTTTGGGTTGTGTTGACATATTTGTTGCTGGAATTGGAACTGGTGGTACTGTAACTGGGACTGGGAAATTCTTGAAAATGATGAACAAAGAAATCAAGGTAAAGATCTTATTTTGATGAAGAACTTGAACAAATCATTTCAAGATGTTAAGTTTTGCAAAAATTTTCGTGTATTTATGTTATGTTACCTAGAGCTTAGATTCCTAGATTTCTCGTGTAAGCAAAAATGGGTAGAAAAGTTGGTATGCCACTTTTCCCATGAGGTGGAACATATTATTTCTAGTGTAAGTGAAAAAAATTGTTATCTAACCTACGAAGTTATTGACAGCATATGTTACATTATGATATATTAGTTTTAAGTTAAAATTTCAGTTGTTTTAACTCCATGCCCCTAAAGGGATGTGTGGGGTTCAGGCATTAAAGACATTATGCTCATGGACGTAACAAGGAATTTGAGATAGGTGTGGCAAATGCAAACAACAATAAAATTTATTTATTTTTTAAAACAATAATTAATAAAAATTTAGATGTTAATATTCATTTAAATAGTTATTTATACTGTTAGTAATGTGTTTTGTATTTTGAAAGCATTATCATGATAATTTCGTATAAATCTTATCCAATAATACTTTTATTTCTTTGTATACAATATTAAATTTTACTTTTTACTTGTACCAAATAATCTACCTCAACATGTATACTTCTAGATACAATAAGATGACATTTTAAGGTATAATTAAATCTTAAGATCTGTACACTAGTTTATACTAAGTCAAAGAGATTGAGATTTCAGAAAAGCGAAATTAGAACAATAATGCTTTACACATCCCAAAATTCTTATCCCAAGTGATGTGTAATCCTATGTGGTGTTAAAATTTAAATGAATGGTGATTTGGTAAATGATATAGCAATGCCAAATAAGATGACACATCACTAGTGATGTGAATTTGGGGATATATTTTGGGATGTGTAGCATTACTCAAATGAGAACTAAAACTTTTGTTGAACAAGGAGCGAAAGGGAAGAGAAGGGATGATTTCTCTTTTGTAACTTTGAAACCTTATACACATGACGTAGACATTTTGCTGAAAATTTTTGGGGCACTCGTCTATCTTCAGCTCCACCAATGGTGCTGTGTGCCAATCTTTGGATTGCATTGCAGTGTTGTATCAATATTGTCAACCTTTCTGGACGACAGCAGCTAAGTTCCTAATTTGTCTTCTTTTGTTTACTTAGGTAGTTGGTGTTGAACCTGCAGAAAGGAGTGTGATATCTGGAGAAAACCCAGGTGAAAGCAATTTAATTTTGGTTACTTTAATTTTTTCATGTTGACTCTGCTTGAAGAAATTTCTTGGCTCCAATAACATCTGCTTAGAGTTTGTAGCATTTTGATGCAGGTTATGTGCCAAGCATCTTGGATGTTAAACTGCTTGATGAGGTTATCAAGGTAAAGAAAATTTCACCTTATCTTCCATTTCCATTTCTTTCCAAAAATTACTAGTATTTTAGAATTGTTTGATTTGTTAATCTTTTAAGGTTCCAACTCTCTTTTATTCCCCGTAAAACTGTTTCATATGCATTGTTTAGCTTGCATCAGATATCTGCAGTTCAGATTGTGATTTTAATTATTCTCTCTTGTAAGTCTCTTTTGAGTTGTTAAATGTAAACCGCCCAAGTGTTTGAGTCAATTTTGCTGTAATTGGCCAATTTACCTCTAGTGGGATTCATCGGAGACAGATCTGTCATATAAGTTGGAAACTCTGGTTCCTATATTACTTGATGGGTTTTTCTCTATAGTAAGGTTATATATATATAAATTTCCGGGTGTAGATAAATAGTTGAATAATTTTTTATTCCACAAAATACAGTTTATTACTTTCAAGCCGCTTATTAGCATAAATCTCCTTATCATATGCATAAATTGCATGAGAATGTGTATTCCACGGTTTATTATTTCCAATTGGGTGATTTATATAGTATTCCCAAACTAGAGTATCAAATCTGTTCTATCTTGCTCTTTTTCATTTCCTATTGTTCTGTATTTTTCTGAAAATTGATAATTTTGCAATATCCAAATGAATTCCAGTTTTTTGTGGTTCTGTTTCCAGCTCCTAGGTTAATGATCCATTTAGTTTCCCTTTACCTGATTGTCGAATCCTATTTTGGGCTAATTTTTTGAATAAGTAATTCTCTCGGATGGGCATTTGGTCAAAATTTGCTTCCTCTAATAACTTTTTGTGTGCTTCTTGTGATCTCTATGAACTTTTATTATTTAATAGGCTCGAAGAGTAATGCATTTGGTAAAACTTTGCTTCCTAGGTTTCTAATGACTTTTTGCGTGATCTTGTGATTTGACAAACTTGTAATATCAAATTGGCTGTCATAAAATTTGCAGGTTACCAATGAAGAAGCTGTTGAACTGGCGAGGAGATTAGCACGTGAGGAAGGTTTGCTGGTAATTTACAAATAATTTTCAACATAGAAATCAAAAGTTCTATTGTCTTTCCCCTATTTGTCTATCATTATCATTAGGAATTCAATATCAAAGCTTCAGCTAGGAAGTTGTCTTTTGTAAAACTATTATTATCTTGGATGAAAGCAACTCCATTTCCATTTTGACAATTTCTAGATATAGCTGTGTTACTTGATGGAAGAAACCTTTTTTGAGGTAGTTTCTCTAATTTAGTGTCCACTCTTTGTATTTAGGTTGGAATTTCATCGGGAGCTGCTGCAGCTGCAGCAATCAGCTTAGCAAGAAGACCTGAGAATGCTGGAAAACTTATTTCGGTGAGGAATCTTATTTTAAAGTTCCCAGTTATATTTAATACGATTGACTGGCAACATAACCAACTTATGGGAAACTTCTTGTGAAAATATATTGGACTGTTTTTGATGTCTCATACTTGGAATCTAGTGATCAGGTTTCTGGTATAATGATTGGAAATACAGACTAAGATGGAATCACGGAAGCTGAAAAAGTAAATGAATGATATTTCAAATGAGTGCTACAACGACTTATTAATCAGTTTTAGAAATGGACAATTCATTTTACTTGACTTTTCAATTCAGTCATGCTACACAGTAACAGTCATTCCGTTTCACGAGTAATTTAGGGCTAGTCAATAAATTTAAAATCCACAATCTTTAATGAAGATTTGGTGTGATTCAGTTTTACATAAAACCTGTTAGACATGGATGACCTATTGTTTCTGCATTGTGTAAATATCTAGACACTAAACAAAAATTTAAGTTCTTCTGTGGGAATCTTTATGAACAAGATACTGATGATAACCATTTTCTGCTCTTTGAATTGTAGGGAATTGTACCTAAGAATACTACTCTTGTCTTCTTATTGCAAGTTCCAAACTTGACCCTTTCTTATCAGGACATTGTACTAAACATTATTGCAGTTTCTAACTTGTCTGTTTTATGGTTGTTAATACTGAAGGTTATATTTCCAAGCTTTGGTGAGAGGTACATTCCCACAGTTCTTTTTAATTCCATATACGAAGAGGTCAAGAATGTGCAACAAAGATAGGGTGATTTCATTTCCTTCCATTTGAGACGATCAAGTTTTCCGCAGAATTGAGTTGCTTTCATCCCTAAAGAGTGGATTTACATGTTACATATAGGTAGGTAACCAATTCGACAAATCCTTAGTCACTCTTCCCGAATTAGTTGTTCATCTTTTGTCCCAGGTGCTAGTTTTCATATCAGAGGTCAGATTGCATCTAGTTGCAGAATTTTTTTAGCAGAAAATTAGTTTTTATGAGATTTTGTACTTAATCATTAGTTTAGGCATTCATTTTTTCTTGATAATTCTTTTAAGGTCCGATATTTGGAGGTCAAAGGCAATGTGTTGTTTCATTTGTAAATTTATCTTGAAGCTTAAGAAACTAATTAAGATGGAGAAGTTGTCAATGTTTAGCAAAATTTGGTGTTTACTTGCAAATTGTAAGAATTTTGTTGGTTCATGTACATTTTTTTGACCAAATATTTAGTGTTTGTTTCTTCTTATTATATGCTCTTCATGTGGATACAAATATAATGGTTCCTTGGACTAAGCATTGTTGTTTGTAGATGAATACTACATGATGGTGATGGTGTGATGCAATTGTGGACCTCTTCAAGAAACATAATGGGCTGCCCACAAATTATTATTGATGCGACTAGATATCTAATGGGCCTTTCATAACACTGTTCCCTTCTCACACTTGTTCTTTTATATAATGGGCTATCTGCAACTCTGGTTCTTTCACAGCTTTTAACTCATTTTTCAATCTGATATTAATTAAGATACAAATTAGAGTCTCAATCTCTTTCTAAACCCTAATAATAATAAATTATTTTTAATTTTTAATTTTTAATTTACAAATATATTTTATTTAAGAGTAAATGACTTTTCCCCCCCCAAGGTTTGCTTCATGACACTTTCGTATCCAAAAAATTTTAAAATACCATTTTCGATCTAAAGTTAATATTTCGTTATTATTCAAAGTCAATTCCAACTGATTTTGATGGCGGAAGTTCTTTTCGTCACCACACCTTGAATATCTGGTCCCCTCTTTACAAAGTCTCTCTAACTCCGACACTTAATTTTTTGTTGATTATTGGTTATCGCAAAGCTAAACTTTTATGTTCTTAGTTGATTTTCAACCGTTTCTAACAGCGAATATTCAATTAGTTACCACTATTCGATTCATCGACCTCTACTCTACGAAACTTTTTTTACCTTGGCTTTTGATAACTCGCTTAATGTCATTTAAGAAAGTGAAGTGTATTTTGAGTATTAACGAAATATAAACTTTAGGTGGAAAAGTGTTATTAAGGCAAACCTTGGGTGAGAAAAAGTCGTCTACTCTTTATTTAATTACAAAATTATCCTTCTTTAATATCGTCTTTTCTTCTTAATATCTTGGTAACCTCATCATCTCCGTTTTTCATCTACTTTAAATCTAAGTATCCTTTTTTTTTTTTTTTTTTTTTTTGGTAAAATCTAATCTTGCATTGTACATAATCTATTCCGTTCAATATCATTAACAGTTTGTTTTCTCTTCAATTTCTTACATCAGTATCTTATTCCAATTAACTTCAACTTCTAAGAGAACTAAAAAATAAAGACGGTGACCAGACATCGATCGGCAATGGAGAAGTTTTAGATAAATATTTTTTCTTCTTTCTTGTTTTCATTGTTCTCGTACGTAAGAAAAATATAGAAAGTTTGATGTTTTAAATTGAATTTCTAAAGCAACCCTAATATAAGACACATTTCCACTGTATTATTTTCATTGTTTGATTCCATCTTCTCCTCTTTATAATTTCAAACTATGTTTTAGAAAAAAAAAAAAAAAAAAAAAAAAAAAAAAAAAAAAAAAAAAAAAAAAAAGGAGAGAGGATTTAGGGTTTGGAAAGATAGAGTTTTTTTTTTTTTTTTTTAATTTTAGGGGTGTACTAAAAGAAAAAAAAAAACACACACTTATGGTAATTACTACTTAAAAAAAAAAATTATATTTTTCTAAAAAAATATTATTGGGGCTTAGAAAGAAAATTAGTGAGGCTTAAATAGCACCACTCTAATATGTGATCAAGTAATATTCTTTTTTGAGATAATGAAAAAGTCCTTTGTTAGAAGTAATGAATCTATCTAATTTGATTATTAATCACTGATTCTTAAATGAAAATTACTACAAACCCAATTTTTTTTCTTTCTAAATTTTGGAAATATAAATGTGTTTGTCATTGACACTGCTAATTGCTAACGAATCTTATTATTCTATTCTAAAACTCTTGGGCCTTTCGTTGACCTTTACCGGTGTTGAGAGGCAAGATAATGACCTCTTTCCATGCCAGCTTCAAGCCCTTTGTGGTAGCTGCAAGGCTTTTGGTGGCCTCCGACTGCTTCCGCAAGGCCCTCAAGGCCTCTAGCGACTGCTTTAAGGTTGAGAGAGTCGCTGGCAATGAAGACAACAATGGCTATGCCATAAAAGTTTGGTGTTTAGGTTGAACAAGGGCCAAAGTGTCATTTTTCTAACTATTTGGGGTTCGTTGGGGTTGAAAAGGGGCAAATGATTAATGGATTTTCCCTAACAAACTTGCATGAAATAGGGGCTAGGGTCCTATTTGTGAAACTAGCTGGGGCTCACTAAAATCATGAAACACATAGGGGTTTACTCAAAGTTTCCCACATATAAGTAATGAATCTTTAATTAAATAATTTAGTAAAAATTTAGATATATTAAAAATTATTAATACAAAAAAAGAAAAAGAAATTAAACTACATAATTTGATACATGCTTTGGTAAAATTGTATGATTCTCTTTATCTAAACCAAACATGTTTTACATAAAGAAATTCTATTAGATACGAGTAAAAGAAACATAAGTATTATAATAATAATAAAAAAATTAATTAGTCAAATTTGAGTTTAACAATTTTATATATAATCTTGTTTTATACTACATTGTACCAAACATAGTATAATCTTTTAAATAAGAGTAAACGACATGTTCCCACCCAAGGTTTGACGAAATCCCAAGTTAGTACCACTGGTTTTATTTATTCCAGATTCCCACCCTTAAAGTGAGGGAAAAACGTTTGATGTAACGGTAAAGGGGTAAATTGGTCATTTTACATGTACAACGCACGTTAGCAGACCACCGCCTCTAACAGTCCTCCGGCGCACGTTAGCAGCCGTCGTTCCCGACGTTTTTCGCTCTTTTCCGGCGATTCTTCCACCCAAAATCACCCTAGTCACCACCATTTGAACCCCCATCCTCCCCTCTACAAAACCATACCATTAACAACCCCTCATCACTCGCCAATCTCCGGCCACGGCAACAAAAAACGGCCGATGAACACGAACTCTCGGCCTGCGAATGACGACGAAACGGTTGCTGGGGACATAGGGGTTTTATAGATTTGGAGACGGTGGTTGCATTGGTGGTGTCCAATTGGATTTTCACCGTCGGAATCGACCAGAATCCGATGAAGAACACCGAAACCCTAAGCCTAATGGTGTCGGCGATTGGAGGGGCAAATGAGTTGGGAACCAGAGGGGTTTTGGACGACGGACTATGGGGAAGGTGATGGAGGTGACCAGGGGGTTCGACGTCGTCGAAAACAGCCCAGATCGGGCTGTTTCCGGTGAGGGTGTATAGTGACCGAGGGTGTTTTTGATATAATTTGAAAATAAAATGGTAAGTTTTGTAATTCTACTATTTTAGGGGTTAAAACATAATTTTAATTAATTTAGGGTTAAGGGCATTATGGTAATTGTACCCTCTAAACTCTAAAATTTCATAACACTGTTAGACCTGGCAAAACGGGTGGGTGGGCCGGGTAAAACGGATACGGGTAAAACGGGTACGGGCCTTATACAGGTCGATATATACGGGTCCAATATTTTGGACCCGTGCCCTACCCTATACGGGTACGGGTGGACCCGTTTTTTCTCTCTCCAGATTTAAGTTTTAAAAGTTTCAACCCTAAAAGTTTTCAATTATGACAATTACACCCCCAAAATTCCTGCAGTTTTAATTTTTTACATTTACACCCCCTAAATCAACTACTCTAAATTCAATTCAATTAAGAATATAAACAAATATGAACCAAAATAAACAAATAACACATAAACAAACATAACATATATACAAATACAAATACCAACCAAACAAACAAATACAAAATCACTAATACACAATTACCCATAAACAAACCAAATAAGTCAATAAACTATAAATACCAATTAAAATAAACAAATACATAATCCATATTCAACAAAAAACATTCTTAGAAAGAAAATGTTTATTCCACAGTGGCGTGATAGAGTCTCTGATTCCACGGTCTCGAGATCAGTCATGGCACATCAATCATCATCCGAATCATCTTTCACCTCATCATCTACAAAACAATGATCAACTACAAATATTACTAAATGTAAATAATAAAAATACGAAATTATGTTAACATGTTACAATTGGTCTATTTCATAATGATCTATGTAGCAATTATAAGTGAGTTATTTATAGATTGATTAATGTTAAATTATAAATAGTCCACCTAATTACTGATAACATGAACTTGAAATCCCAGATTTTTCACCATTATGAACTAAAGATAACTAAAACCAGCACTAACTAAACTAAGCCTAACACAACCCTTCTGCTGAATGGTTTGCAATTCTATTCAAAATATCAGCAGAACACATTGGTATCTACAACTTCATTGTGTTTCACGTTCCACATTTTCCAAGCACCAACAAGTCTGCGCTCCAAGGACCTATAAATGATCATCTTAATCACAAACTACAATTAAAGTTCATCTGCTCAAGAATTTCGCTCACTTTCGATTAGTGTCTTTTTTTTTTTTTTTCTGTTCATTTCAATCATCACAAACCCATAAAGAGACACATAAACAAGATCCATTGCTATTCTACTCTTTCCAATTCATTCCATAACTTTCCTCCACTTTCTAAGTAACCAAACAACAAAATTTAAAACCAGCACAAACTGAAACATAAAACTATACCAACCACAAAAAAGAAACC